CTCCAAGGTGTTGCAATTATCAAAGACAATAGAAAAATCTAGAGGACTGCTTTGTTTCCAGAGACAACGTCATGGCATCGGAAGATAGCTTCCATTTCAGAAGTCAAAAGTCATATTTTGGGTCTTCCCATTGGTTCACGCCACTTGAATTTCAGGACAAGCACACACTGGATCAATTAGCAGTCAATCTGACCCCAGGAAAATAAAATAAAAATAGCAGTCAATATGTCAGAGTTGCAGGTTTCACCACGTGTCAATCTATGATAAGCTAAGTGCTTACGTCAACATTGTTCATATTAATCAAACTCCAGACTTCCACATTGACAGACCACTGGATAATACCGTTACTTGTGCTACCTTAAAATAGAGTCACTAATAAATTCATTCAGCACACAACTTTTGAAAAATGTATTAACAAAAACTGCTTCTCTGGTGTATTTTGACACAATCATCTTTCTCCCCTTGACATTTGAAATTCAGTTTTCCACAATGAGTATTGTATGGTATTACCGTAGCGCTTAGTGCAGTGATGCCTACTTGTTTGGGTCCGTATCACATGTCATCTCATGATCCAGATCGTACATCTTTTAGGTCATTATTAGTTAATTATCACCCTTGCGTTTAGTCTTCCTTTTATTGGAGAAGGAGAACTTAAATTCAATTCTCATAGAGGATAGTTGTTGATTTAGGAAACGAGCCAGAGAGGGCAAGACTAAAGCCCTTACCATGAGAGTGATGTTCTTTTTTTAGCCGATGACAACTTGTTATTCAAAGAATTGATCTCAAAAATTAAAGGATTGTGTCATGGAATCATAGTGACTTAGAAGGCAAGTTAGATTTGCTATACCAATCCACAAGTTTTTTTGTTTTTGGGCTACGAAAATATAAGATTACAACAAAAAACCTCTAGAGCACGCATACGTAAAGAGGTCACAATAGAAGCTATTGAGGCAAGAGTCCCATAATTTAGAAGAAGAGAGCAAATGCCCTAAACTAGCTAAAGCATCAGCCACAAAATTTGCCTCTCAAAACACATTTTGAAATCGAACCTCTGCACAAAAGGAGCTCAGATGAGAAACATCATGAGTAAGTTGTCGAAGGCTCCAAGGGAAGGGAGTCAAGCACCAGTTTTGGACTGAGTCAATAAGGGCCCGTTCTGTAACGTTTTAAGAGGTTGATTTCATTTTCAGAGAACAAAAATGAGGTAAAAACACGTTCGGTGGACCAAAAACAGAAAACACTGAGAATGTTTTCATAAAATGAAAACAAGTTCATGTGTACTTGTAGAAAACAGAAAAAGTTGTTTTCATTCTTGTGGAAAACGTTTTCATAAAAATAACTCACATATTATTATTTCAAATTGTACTACCAGACACGTTTTCATTGTTTTTGTTTTCTGAAGATTTTTTCTAATTAATCTACCAGACGCATTTTCATTTCCTGAAAATGCAAATTCGTTTTCTTGTTTTCATTCTCTGAAAATATTCTCAGAAAACACGCTCCGAAAACGTTACTAGATGGGCCCTAACTAACTTAGAGTCCCCTTCCACAATTAGATTAAGGCACCCTTTGGAGATGGAATAAGCAAACCATCTCTTAAAGCTAAATCCACTAGTGTTGAACAATCTGTAAACGCTTCTCTTTTATTTATTTATTTATTTTGGTTGTTTATTATTATTACAGAAAACGGTGGCTCCATGATAAGCCTAAATATATATATAAATCGTTACTTCAACTTGATGTCTTTATCAGATTTAACCTTGTCACACTCGTAGACTATATACATATATACCATGTGCTTGCTGGTTTTATAGTGCTTAGAAACGCATTATTTTTATAATAATGAGGCCAAAACTGACCTGAATCTTTAAATCTGTAGGCTGCTTTGCCCGCCACTGCATGTTGTTTCTTGAAAGAGATGTTTTGGATACAATTTTTATATGTTATATTAGTATAGTTTTCGAGTATGATGTCCTCATTTTACAAATTGACGGAGGAAATTTTTCTTAGGTCAATCGTACTATTATTGTACTACAATGCGTAGTTCATCGATCGAAACTGTCTATAATTTTAGATATTTGCAAAAAAAAATATCCATGTTAAAAAGTATATGCTTATCTAAAATGTTCAAAAACCCCCAATCCGTTTGATTACAACCCAAAAACCTTCTTATCCTGTATTTAAGCTTATATTAAGAATCCACTTAAAAAAAAGATATTTAGTGATATAAGGTCGTACGTCCATTAATTGTGTTCCCTTGATAAATAAATAAATGGACCCATCAATTATGAAACATGAGCATGCTCGGGTCAGCATTATTGGTTCCCCACAACGAATTAGAAGATAAAGAGACGTTGCCCTACACAACTCATGCAAGTCTTGTCCAAACCATTTGCATGATTGCACCATTTTCTTAGAGTTAAATATTAGTTTATGTTGTCAATGAGATCTAGTTCAGTTGAAAAAGATATCGTAGATTAGTGGTCTCAAGTTTGAACGTTCATAATATTTTGGTAGTGTTTATGATTTTATGATTATTTTGTGATATTCAAATTTAATCTATAATTATAAATCGACTGACTTTAGCAAAATCCTACCTGAATTTGAGGAGTAATAACTTCAATCGCTCATAAAACATGGTATTGTCCTCTATCAATTGATGCAAAATTTAGTTAAACAAAGTAAATTAGTGTAAACTTGTGTGTATATACACAAGTCTAAAAAAATTAAGATGGTCCCACAAAGTACTAATAATTAGTGTAAACTTGTGTGTTTTTCACTAAAGGATAAACTAAAGAATTAGCGGAAGTCGGTGATTAAAACAGGTAATTAGATTAGATCTTGTTGATGAAAAAGGATATTAGATTTGATTTTGATTGATCGTCCAAAAGATGCTTAAGAGCTTAATTACGTAACTTTTGTTTTGTTTTTAATGTCGTTATGTAATTATTGTGTTCATTGCATAAATTGTTGGCCTCTTCTTTGGGAAAAAAAACAAATAAAATAAAATAATTGAAGGCCATAAATCAGACTGACTGAGATATAGTGACCCAACCAAAATGATTTTCTAATGTCGTATAAAACTAATCCAATGGTCTCATAATTAGCCCATTTTTGTGGCAAATCACAATATCTGACTCAGTCCATTATGTTTTTCTGTTTATAGCATATTATTCCATACGTATACAAGTTTCAAATTGAACATTAATGGGCATTTGGAATTTGATATTGACACCATAATTTACTTTGCAATTAACAAAGCCAACAATATTAGAGGTCACACATAAGTGTTATAGATCATTGCAGTCAGAAATACACTCTTTGTATCATATGAAGAGTGAGATCGAGAGAAAAATGCATTGCACTCGTAACACGAAAGTTTTTCTCCGTCGTAACACGGTTCATATGTACATAACTCTACTTAATCAATTTATAGTTGTCGGTTTGACAACCTAATTGTATTAAGATTGCTTTACAAAACTTCATAAAGCGAAGCATGCACATGGGTTTGTACAAGATAGTGGCTTAATTCGGGGAAGGAAGAAGCTCATCACTTTCTTCAAAGTTCTCATAATTCTTATGCACATGGTTTTGTAACCAATTCATGACAACCTTCCTCGAATGGAAATTAGCACTCATCACACTTTTCCCAGGTTTCATAATTCTTTCTGAATTATTATTTATTTTTAATTAGTTGAATAAGATTTTATGTTTGGCTCACATTAATATAAGAACGATGTGCATTTATAAAATTAATTTATCTTGTTTATTATCATTGATTACTGCGCAAGTTTTGATCCAAATTCATAGCCGCAATTGATTACATATAAACATTCTGATGATTTTGTTGATGGCTCAACTAATAAGTGAGTTCTTAATTAGCTTTTTCTTTTTCTTTAGGTGCACTTTGGAAATGCTTTCATTTGACTTCATTGACACTTTGGTGCAACTTGGGAGTATTATAACATAAAAAGAACAAAAAAAGAAAAATAAAGTCCGGCAGTTGTAATACGAATGCATGTACTTTTGCCATATCATAATGAATTTAGCAAAAGTAATCTGTGTACTTTGACAATAACAACCATCGTTAATGATATTGGTCCTGATTAAATTATAAGAGTACGAACACATTTGTCAATATAGTTTAATTGGTTGAGCTCTTCTAACTTCAACTTAAGCCCGAAGATGATGCAACATCTCCAAATTGAGCCCAAAAATAATCATCCATTTTTGAGCATAAACTGATTATGATTTCTCTTGTTGGCATGCATTTCTTCTTTTGCACAATAAACATGAACTGACATTAAAATTCATGTAAAAACTATCTTTCGAGCAAAGTCGGATTATGATTTCTCTTGTTGGCATTTCTTCCTTCCACACATGGCAATGGGATCGCATGCTTTAAATATTTGTCAATTAAGAAAAATGTGCAGATTACGTTGAAGACACACCGATTGTGTTTGTGACACCCCAATTTACAAACAAACCCACAGTCTTCTTCAATTTGTATAAATAAATAATCAAAGAAAAGGAGAATAGTGACAATTCATTGATGATAAAATCAAATGAGAAAACTGCTGGCAAACAGAGTCCGTTACTGGGAACGTGAACATTGACAAAAACAAGGGCGCTGTTAATTGTCCCCCCCCCGTCTCAATCAACCAATCAAATTTCAGCATCACCAAAACTTCTCATTTTTTTTCTCTCTCTGCTTGAAAGCATCACCCAAACCTTCTAGAGTCTAGAGATATAATTGAGTGGGTTGGGGTTGAGTAAGCAAAAGAGATATAATTGTATTAAGTATTTGGTAATATTTAGTTTGGCTAAAAATGGAGTAGGCGGCTGCCTACCCTG